GATGGCACTGCCGGGGTGATGGCCCTGCCGGGGTGATGGCACCGCCGGGGTGATGGCACCGCTGGGGTGGTGGCACTGCCGGGGTGGTGGCACCGCCAGGGTGATGGCCCTGCCGGGGGGATGGCCCTGCCCGGGGAGCGGCAGAAATCCTGTCTGGGGTGGTGGCACTGCCGGGGTGGTGTCACCGCCAGGGTGATGGCCCTGCCGGGGTGATGGCCCTGCCCGTGGAGTGCCAGAAATCCTGTCAAACGGTGTTTGGAGGCGTTTGTTCAGAGACATGGGGGAGCCCGTTCTGTTACACAGGGAGCAGCCTCTGACAGGGTCACACACTTTTAGCGCAGGTTGCTCCTGAGACCTTTCACTGTCTGAACCCACGCCGGAGGGTGAAATTGTCACTTGTGTCCCTATCGACCCCAGTGCCACCGCCGCACCCGCATTCCCGTGGGTGTTTGCCTGCGGGATGCAGAAGTGACTCGGACAAGTGTGTCCTGTGATGGGGTGCTGGGACTGTCACTGCCACTGCCAGCGGGGCAGAGGGATTGAGCAGCGAAACAACCAGCTTGTTAGCCTTTAGGGCTCTTCTTCAAAACATCTGATTACGGTAACTGCAAAACTTGAGTACTGTGTTCTTTGAGGAAAGGAATGATGTTCTTTTTGATAAAAAATCAATTGGTTTTCAGAAAAATATTTCCTGTTTCATGGGGTCATGCAGAAAATGAAAACAAAATAAGATTTTTTTTCCCAGTATAAAATGGACCGAAGTATTTTATCCGCTCAGTTACTGTAAATAAGCTGCATCCAGAAAGCAGAATAAATGCTTCTGTGTAATTTCTATGTGGAATTGGGATGTTGTTCTCCATTTTTAAAAAAGAGCTGAAGGTACCCTGATGTTCAATTCTAGAGAGCTGTCTGCTGTAGTCACACCAGAGTTGGCAGGTTTAGGACAGTAATTCTTACAGGTTTTACTTTCTCTTGGTGTAAAGAAATAAAGCAGCCAGCTAGGAAGATGTAGGCATATGATTAGATATTTTTTAAAGACTCAAATTTCCTTTCAAAGGAAAAAAAATGCACAGCATGCTGCAGTGGTGTTTTCTTCAATTGCTGGAAAACCAGAAGTGAAACATCCTCCTTCATATCACAATATGTAAATAAAATGGACAAGATGTTGTGGAGTAATTGTGTGTTTTCAGTAACAACATACCAAAGACCTCCTAAAACTCCAGTGCATGGTATATTTAATAGCACAAAGTTATTTTTAAAAATCGAGACTAAATTTTATACAACTGCACGTTGCTGTTAAGCGCATAGACTCAGGCGAGCTCGAATAAAGCATGAAGAGGAGCGGTGGCTGAGGGCTGGAAAGCCGTCCTATCCGGAGAGTTTAACTGTTTTTGAAAACAATGATTTCTCCTGCAATCTGATGCTGTTACAGTTACGTTCCTGTAAACCCAGTTAAGTGCTCAAATTTCCGAGGAAGAAGCTGTTTTAAGCAAACACTGGTGCTCGTGGCATCTGTGATTTGTGTGCAGAGAGTCCTCTCGGTGAGTCATGCGAGTGAGTTCCACGCTGCAGCGCCTGCTGGATGCTGCATGAGCACAGCTGGCGCTTGGGCTCCAGCCGGAGGAATGACAGCTTAAAGGATTTTCTGGTGCGGATGCCAAATGTTAGGGGTGAGAAAAGACGATCAGTTCCGAGAGTGGATGAATACACGTGCCTCCCCAGAAACAGCTGAATGCAAAGTGAACGGAATTGTGATTTTAAATGTTCCGATATTTTAACAGAGCAAAAGGAAATAAGAAAATTGGGCTGAAAGTATCTGTTAATTAATTAAGTGGCTAAGTGTGCTTACAAATGGCAAAGATTTGCCGACTTTAGGAATCTCATTGCTTGTCAGTACTTTCTTCTGCCATGAGCCCCAGAGCTGCCTTTCTGAAGGCTGCTGCCTCCTCTGCGTGCAGCCGTTCTGTCCTCTGGGATGCGGCTGAACGTTGCAAGTGTGACAGAATTAGCTACAGGAGCTGGAAATAAAACACAGCCTGACAGAAGCAATCTCACAAGGAACTTGTGAAACACGGGTGAGAGCAGGGAAAAGCGTGGTCACCCCCGGTCTATGGGCAATAGGGGCAGGGGTGCGTGGGGGGGGTGGTGCGGGCGCTCCTCACCTTCGCGGCACATCTGTGGGGCTGTGGGACAGCCTCAGTGTCACCGCTGGAACCTTCAGGGGGGTTAAAAAAATCAGAAAAACCTTGTGAAAGCTGTTCAGTATTTTAAGCACTGGAGTAACATGATGCCCTAATCTTTCGCTGAGAACCACACGACTGTTTATTTTTCTTGTTGCAGGGTCTTGTTCTGGCTTTTTGTGCGAGGTCCCCAACAGCCTTCAATAATTGGAGTTAGCAAGCGTAGAGTAATGAGCTGGCAGCAGTTAGGGTAACCTTTCTAGGTTGAGACTGTCAAAACATCTTCCTGAATTTGGTATCGTTTTTAACAGGAACGTGGGATCATACCACCCATCAGTTCCTGACAAACAGCATTTCTAAGAACGCAAATCCTGAACACGCTGCTACATACTGCAAAGGTTTGGGCTGTTACTGCAGAGCTTGGATTGAATTTAAAAAAAAAATAAAAAAGAAAAAAAAAAAAAGCAGCTTCCAAAAAATTAATTAGCCGCATTGCACACCCTTTCCTCCCGACTCACCGCCCCACGGCTCTGCCCTTGGTAGTGCACTGCAGCGATGATTTACGCACAGGATTGCTCTGTGGTCCCTCTCCCCCCCAGCGCAGACACGCTCACGGCTCTTCTCCGAACGTGGGGACAGGCCTCCTCTGTTCCGCCAGCACGGCCCCTTTGGGCTGGGGCTGCAGGCTGATGCAGTTTCCTTGCGTCGCTGCTTTTTCAGGGCTAAACGTCACCGTCCCACGGGTGGCAGGAGACCACGGCGCTGCAAC